TATATAGTTTTTTTTTTTATATATTTTTTGATTTGACGACAGCTCTAACCCTTAGTTAAGTGCAGTATTCATTTGGATTTCTCATGTTTTCCATGTGGAAATGTACATTTGCTGACAGATTGCTTGTGGGAAATGTAATATGCTTTTGGTGCCAGCGCTGGTCCCATAACACATTGATTAAATTAAATATTTAATTTGCTTTATATTTTCATTAAGAGTAGCAAAGGCACTGCAACTGTCTCTACCCTCACCCCAAGTCCCGAACCTATTTACATTTGTTTGCCGTATGGCCTAGTCGTAACTCTCCCCTCCCTTGCCCTATCTCTCTGTCTTGCCGAACTCTGCTCGTATGTCATACTCGCAATTTTCGCCACCAAACGACAACAACAGACTCAAATATTTGCATAGACAAGCACTGGCTCTGCTATAATATATACACACACACACATATACGCACGCATACATTTACAAATATATACATATACACATACATATATAGTGTTTACTGTGGCCTGATCCTCTGCCTCAACTTAAATGCATTCTCCAACTCCCTGGACCACAAAGGGCACAAAACTCATAGAGTTGAGTTAAACATTGGTAAAGTGGGTGTTGCCCATGGCCCCTACTTCTTATCCCCAATCCCTTTACACCCACCTCTTTCTTGGCACACCCCCTCTCAAGTGCGTTCGCATCCACGTTGTTTTCATCGTCRTCGTCGCCGTAGTCATGCCTTGATTTACGATTGGTCCCTTTACAGCCCACAACACTATACGGCCGCACACACTTAGTTAGCCAAACACGCACACACACACACACACACAGACATACACCCACCAACTCCAGAAGCATAGCCACAACCATTCTTAGCCCATTTTGGCCTTTAACAAGCGCTTTGTATTTGTCACCAAAAAGCCTACACATGCAACCAGCAGCTGCAGCAGCATGGGCGGCTGATGTTAAAGAGTGCAGAAGGGGCAGAGGAGGGTGCACAGCATGTAGGGGTTAACTAGCTGATAGCTGGGGTAGCTGCATTCCAGCTGGAGCTAGCATTTGCCCCAAAACAAATGGCTAACAATCTGCATTTTGGGTTACACCCCAAAAATTATAATTGCATAGAAAAGCAAACATTCACATAGACAAGAGAGAGAGAGAGAGTATGGGAGAGAGAGAGAAAGAGATAAGCACTCATATACAGACACTTTATGGTAAAATTTAAATATTTGTTTGCAGTTTAGCATCACAAAGACAATTGACTGGCAGTTCGCATGGCAAACATTCAATATTTGCTGTCGACAGATATAAAATTTAATATTTAAATTATTACAAGCTATATGAACTTTGAATACAAAATTTGCATTAGCTCAAAAATTATTTGAAACATAAATTTAAATGGCAAGTCAAGGAATAGAACGAATGATAATTAAATATTTAAATATTTTGTATGGTAATATGCCGCTAGCTCTCGAGTCTAAAATAAAATATTATAATATTTTTAACT